TTCGGCGACGATTGGCGGCAACCGAGCGGCGGCCGAGGTAGCTCTCGCGGCGGCGAAGCTAACGGCGGTGGCGGGTTGGCGCGGCGGCGACCCTAGCGGCAGTGGCGCGCGGCCGAAGGCGACGGCAAGCGGCGGCGCTAGCAACAAGCGGCGCGAGCTCGGTAGGAGGCACGGGAGGGGACGGGAAATGGGGGAAACGAGAGAGGGAGCTCGGGAGAGTGATTTAATGGGCGAGGGAGGGGAGGACGTGGCCGGGAACCCTCCCGATTTAGCCGGCGACGTGGGGAGGAGAGAGAGAAAGAGGGGTGGGATTCGAACTCGAATCCCGCCCTCTCGAGCGCGCGCGCGGGCCGGGAGATGCGGGGGAAGAGGCGGCGACGTGGGGAGGACGCGGGAGCGGCGCGGCGTGGGCGCGGAAAGAGCGGAGGAGGCGGCGGCGTGGGAGCGGCGGTTGCCGGCCGAGCGCGGTCGGCTGGAGGAAGGGGACGACCTGACAGGTGGGCCCCACCTGTCAGCGTCCCGGAGAGAGGGGGAAAGGGAACGGGCCGGCCCACAAGGGGAGGCCGAGCGCGGGCGACGGGTGGACTGGGCCGACGGCCCAAGAAGAGGAAAAAGGAGGAAAAAGGAAAAAGAAAAAGAAGAAAGGATTTTCCTGGGATTAAAATTGCACTTTGGTGATTTTTAATTGGTAAAAATTATTTCCAAGGCTCTGAAAATTCCACTAAAAATCCTGTTAGCATTATTTGACATGTAGAATCCAAGAAAAATTCCACATGCCGATTCCGATTATTATTTGCATTTATTAATTAGGGAATTAGCTCTAGGTTAATTAAGATAATTTCTTCGGACGATTTATTTAGCCAATTTTTAAAGCAAGCAAAGGGGGAAAACTTCAGGGCGTGACAGCAGGTACGTAGTCCATACGTATACCTGCGTACGGAGTACATGTACACGTAACATCCGTACCAATCAAATCAACCAGTTACCGCTAGCTCTACCACCTAGCTACTCCATCGTCCATTAAACTATTTCAAGTTGATAGACAAATATACTCTTATTCAATACAATAGATAAATATACTAATACTACTATCTACACCAAATTAATTTTATTAAATCTATAATTGATTATATTTTATAGTATATATATTTGTCTTGTGTTCAATATGTTACTATTTTTCTCTCAAACGTGATTAAACTTGGAGTAGTTTGATTTTGACCAAAAATCAAATCGACATAGGATGGGTGAACCTGGACGTTGGTAATTCATGTCTCACGCATGAAAAAATGAGATAACCTATTAGCACATAATTAATTAAGTATTAACTTAAAAAAACTTTTAAATAGATTAATATGATTTTTAAAAAACAATTTCCTATAGAAAATTTAAAAAGAAACACTCCATTTAGCGGTTTGGAAAGTATACGTACGGAAACAAGATAGTAGAAGTTGAGAAAGTGAGAGAACGAAGACAACCTTATGATATGAATATTCTATACTAATACACCCTCCGTCCAGGAATATAGAGTATTATGCCAAATATAGTTCAAATTAAGGAAGAGTACGGAATGCTAAATCTAAGCTACAGAGTACTCCCTCTATAAAAAAAAAACCCAACCTATATACTTTTTTGGGATGGAGGAGCATGTGATAGTGTGAAAATGAACTTATTAGCAAACTGAATGAAGCGTTCTCCCTCCGTTTTTTAATAGATGACGCCGTTGACTTTTTCTCACATATTTCACCATTCGTCTTATTCAAAAATTTTATGCAAATGTATAAGATATAAATCACACTTAAAGTACTATGAGTGATAAAACAACTCATAACAAAATAAATTATAATTACGTAAATTTTTTGAATAAGACGAATGGTCAAACATGTGAGAAAAAATCAACGGCGTCATCTATTAAAAAACAGAGGTAGTATAAAATACATATTTAGGGCCCCTTTGAATTGGAGGAAAAACATAGGAATTTTGGAGGATTTCAATCTTATAGGAAATTTTCCTATGAAGCCCTTTGAAACAAAAGATCGAATTATATCCAATCCTTTGAAATTCCTATAGAATGGACAATCCTATAGAGATTTTGGAGGAAATTTAGCAAGAGCTTCAACCTCTTGGTAACTTTCCTTTGAGTCTATCTCTCTCATCTAATTTCTAAGTTTTTCCTTGGTTCAATCAAACGGTCATTCCTGTGTTTTTCCTGCGTTTTACAATCCTCTGTTATACATTTACATTCCTATTAAAATCCTACGTTTTTCCTATTCGTATGTTTTCTCCGTCCTACGATTCGAAGGGGCCCATAGAAATGAACTAAGATAGGATTCAAAGGAGCTGCATGCAGAGTAGTACTACATGTACTTTTCACTATATACCTTTTCTGATGGGAATGGATGGGGGTACTCAATTTCTGATTGCTGCTTTACTTCTTATCTCGGAATCCCTTAAATTTCTGGATAAACTTAGGGAGCATAATCCTCTGTATTAATGGAGAGAGGGAGTAGCTAGTACAGGGACCTTTCGAGAACTCGATGGATTCCGGGCTTCCGGCACCTGCGCACATGGGACATGGGTTAATTAATCGTGGCTACTGTAATCGACATTACCAACCGTCCGAATCGACATTGCACGTACCGCTAGAGAAAAACAGACGGACTCGCGCGCGATTGCGTCGTTGCATACTCCGTGCTCCCTCCATCTAAAAAAAGGTGAACCCTGGTTTCCGTGTCCAACTTTGACTGTCCATCTTATATAATTTTTTTTATAATTCATATTTTCATTGTTGTTAGATGATAAAACATGATTAAAATTTTGTGCGTTATTTGTCTTTTTAATTTTTTTCATAATTTTTTCAAATAAGACGGACGGTCAAACGTTGGTCTTTTTTTTTTTTGTTGACCGAGGGAGTATATCCGTCCATCCATCGAGGGATGGGATGGGATGGGACGGGCACGTTACGTACCGTAGGTACCGATCGATGGATTTGATGTCGCAGCTGTCTCTGCACGAATTCCGTCGGTCTAAAAAAATTAATATATAAAAAAATACCTCCTCTATCCTAAAATATAAACATTTTCTTTATTTCAGCATGATCTTCAAGATTCTTAATTGACTAACAATGGCTGTGTTTAGATCCAAAGTTTAGATCCAAATTTCAGTACTTTTTCATCATATCAACCTGTCACACACAACTTTTCAGTCACATCATTCTAATTTTGAGTATTCTACTTTTGATTTTGTATTGGTTCGTGTGGGATAGGTGAAATGGAATTAATTTTGAACGGAGGTAGCAGTATGCATCGGCGCTGCAACGTAAGCTGCACGAATCTTGAAGCGAGCACGGGGCGAATGGGCCTATGCAATTCGCAAAAATGTAGGCCCATGCCACGTTTATAGGCCGGGTTAGGAACAAGTTCACTTAGGTCCCTCTATTTGTCGCCCAGTCCGATTTTCGTCCCTGAACCCCAAAACCGGGTATAACCCGTCCCCCAACTTACGAAAACCGGGCACATAAAGTCCTAAGGCGGTTTGGATAGCGGTTTTGGCTGATGTGGCGCCTACGTGGCAGGTTTGACTAGGTCTCTGTCCCACGTGGCATTGACGTGGCGCTTACGTCGCAATTATATCTTTGAAAAATAATAAAAATCGTGGGTCCACATGTCAGCTACACATAAAAAATAATTTTAAAATGGTGGCCCCCGTGGGCCCACATGTTAGCTATAAAAAAAATATGGTGGGGCCCACGTGGGCCCCACATTCCCTCTCCCTCTCGGCTCTCCCTCCTCTTCCCTATCCTACTTCTCTTTTCCCCACGTGGACGGAGCGGTGGCCAGCGGCGGCACGACAGCGGTCGGAGCGGCGGCGCGCGAAGCCGGCGGGGGCAACGGCGGCACGACGGCGGCCGGAGCGGCGGCGCGCGAAGCTGGCGGGACAACGGCGGCACGACGGCGGTCGGAGCGGCGGCGGAGAGCCCGCGGGAGTCGAGGTCGTCCGGGGAAGCAGTGGCGGCGCCCTTGGATCTCGGCAGCGAGGACGCTCAGAATGAGGCAGCCTTGGATCCGAGGAAGCAGCTGCGGCGGGCCTCGGGCAAAGCGTGGCGCGGCGGCCGATGGCAGAGGAGCGGCCCGTGGCGGCCGACGGGAGAGGAGGGAGCGGCGGCCGGAGCTGCACGACTTCGGACCCGCCGCCGCCGACTCCTCCTTCGCGTGCCGCCGTCTCCGCCTCCGCCTCCCTCTCCGCCGGCTTCGCGCCGCTCCGCCGTCCCTTCCTCTTGTGGCCACAGCCGCCGCGCCGCTCCCTCCTCTTTGCGCGCGGCGATGGAGGCGGCGGCGATGGATGGCGACGACATCTTGGCGCGTGTTGTGGCGACGATGGGGAAGATGAGAGAGAGCCGAGAGGAGATAGGGAATGACATGTGGGGCCCACGTGGGGTTTTTGTTGTGTAGCTGACATGTGGGCCCACATGGGCCCCACCATTTTTAAATAATTTTTTATATGCAGCTGACATGTGGGGCCACGCTTTTTATTATTTTTCCGAGATATAATTGCCACGTAAGCGCCACGTCAATGCCACGTGCGACGGAGACCTAGTCAAACAAACCACGTATGCGCCACGTCATCCAAAACCGCCTTCAAAACCGCCGAGGGACCACGTTTATCCGGTTTTTGTAAGTTGGGGGACGGGTCATACCCGGTTTTACGGTCAAGGGACGAAAATCGGACTCGGCGACAAATAGAGGGACCCAAAGTGAACTTATTCCGCCGGGTTATGCTAGTTCGAATCCCTGGCCTTTATAGGCCGGGCTGTAGCCCGTACAGGCGGTACACGTGGCTTAGTGGGGCCCACGGCGCGACCTGCCACGTGTCGCGCCTCGATTCGCGAGATCCCAGACGCCAATCCCCCATCGGACGGTCCAGGGACGCACGTACCGTTCATTCGCTGAGCCGTTGGGCCCACCTGTCAGAATCATCCCCTCCACCTAAATCACCGCCTCCTCCCGAAACCCCCACGCGGTAGTATCGCGCATCCCCAACCCCAACCCCTCCCCGCCTTGCGCCGCCGCCGCCGCCGCCACCGGCGCCGGCGATCCTCCGATGGGCGCCTCGGCCTCCGTCCTCTCCCTTCCCACGGCGGCCGCCATCCCGGGAGCCGCCACCGCTATAGCTGGCGCCGCGGGCTGCTTCGCCCTCGGCTACTTCCTCGCCCTCAGCCGCTTCCCCCGCCAGGTCGTCGCTGCCTCCCCCGCTTCCGGGGAGACCTCGGACGAGGATTCCGAGGAGGATTCGGAAGAAGATGATGATGACGAAAACTCCGGCCGCAGCCGGGCGGCGAAGCGGGCGCCCAAGCGCGCCGGGCTCCGGCTGCTGTTCTGGGCGCGCAACGTGGTGACCAAGTCCGACTCGGCGAAGGAGGCCGAGAGGGCCAAGGCACGGACCGCGGCTAGCCCCCTGGAGGTCGAGAATCTCGCTGAGATTATAGAGGATTTCAAGATGGTACTGGAAATTTGGCTCAAAATCCCCTTCTACTTTTCTGCTGGATTTGTTTCTTTGATGTGCGCAGAGAGTGAGATGTCTGATTCCGTTGGCTGTTGCTGTGGTGGTGGCAGGTGCTGGTTGTGAGGAATGATTTGAAGATGGGGAAGGGGAAGATTGCCGCGCAATGCAGGTGAATACTTCTCAGTTTATCTGTATCTTCGTTTCGACAGTTGAGTAGAGTTTATTTTACTGATGAACTGAGCTCACTAATTAGCACATAGTGATAGGCTATTAGTGTATTGTGTGTCTGAATGTGAAAGTTGAAACCAATGTTAAAATAGGAAGAATCCTTTCGAATAGAGTTTCCCATTTTTTGAAGGGGGAAATTTTGTGATCATATTGTTATCTGAGGCTACAAGAGGTAGAACTCATATTTTTGGGACTGGCACGTTGACCTTGTGATTTAGAGAACTTGTTATATATCCTACCATAACTAAATTTGCCTCTTATACAGTTGTACTATACACTTGTCGTTATGGAATAAATGAATTGGCACAAACAAATTGCTTATCTTCATGTCCAGCTCCTGCATTTAATCTTTACCTTCAGCATTGGAGTGTTGTCATGCTTTATAACTTTTCTCCTGTGCATATTTCTTTTTATCTTGCAAATGTCAGTGATTATCTCTTATTCTGTCATCTCAGCCATGCAACGTTGGGTCTGTTTAAAAAACTCCAACAGAGAGCTCCAAAATCATTAAGAAGGTATTTTTTTTAACATTTCCAATTATGTTTGAAGTTTCTTCCACATGTTCATGTTCATATGTAAGCAATTCGATTGTCATTGCATGATAACAACAGGAAGGAAACTAATTTACTATCTTTGCTAGGTGGGAGAGGTGTGGTCAAGTTAAGGTGGTCGTGAAAATTGAAAGCGAGGAAGATATGCTTGTTTTACAAGTAAATACCCTTTTCTGTTGCCTGTTGACTCATTATTGTTGAAAGTTATTTTTATTTTTACTACATCTATAAAGGTAATTTGTGAGTTGGAATAGTATAATACCTGCAGATGAACAGAAACAGAAAATATTCCCCTTTTACCTGTCAAATTGTGCATATTAATAAATAAAAAGGAAATTCTCATGGCATTAGAAGTGGACTAGAGCATTAGTAGTATCAACGAACAATTGGTTAAAACAACTTGAAATTTCGATTGGAAAACTCACTCTGAAACATTGGCTGTGAAAAAAGAAAAATCACCGCGCTTCTTGAAACCCAACACTTGACACTTATGCATCATAATATTTATATTCTGCATTCAACGAGATCTTTTATATAGCTAATATGTTACCTTTCAATTCCATAATAGTATAAAACGTTGTTAATGCTTGCATTTTTTCTGTTATGTTTAATTAAAATTTCTTTTGGTGCAGGGAAGAGCAAAGTCTTTGAATATCCCAACACACATAACTATTGATGCTGGAAGAACACAGATCGCACCAAGTGAGTTCTTCAGGCTTTACTTTATTCAATTTAGCATCTGTTTAATATCTGCTGTTGGATTAATTATGTTCCCATCTCTGCTTCCTGTAGATTCAAGAACAGTCATGGCTATTCTTGGTAAGCTACATTCAAATCACTGTGTACCACAGTTTTCAGTGATTTGTGCTATCTAATATTTGTCGTACTGTTTTAATTGAGCAGGGCCAGCTGACATGGTCGATGATGTCACCGGTGGTCTGAAGCTTCTATAAATTCTTGTTCTCGGTATCCTCAGACATAGGAATTTGAAGACAAACGCTTAAATTTGACAAACCACATTGGCTGCTGAAGAACGAACCCTGAAACTCATCGGCTCACTCAATCTTGTTGTTCGAGTATTTACCAGTGAAGAGGCTTAATTTCACTTTTACTTGTATGAACTGTCTTCGGAGCAATGGTTTTTTCTTTCTTCAGTTTTCCACTCTGCATTTGTTGCTGTGGACGTCTGAACTCTTAAATTTTTCTGTAACATATTAGATAACAAAAGGGTAAAAGACTTCCTACTTATCTTAGCCTCGGTTGTGTTCGTTTCCTTGTATTGGGAATTAATTCCCTTCGCACGGAAAACGGGATACCTTATAAGCGTATGATTAGTTGAGAATTAGCTTAAAAAAAACTTAAAAAATAGATTAGTATGATTTTTTAAAAACAACTTTTCTATAGAAACTTTTTGCAAAAAAAAAAAAACACTGTAATAGTTTAAAAAGCGTGTGCATAGAAAACGAAAGAGTGAAATTGGCAAAGTTGTTCAAATCACCGTTTAATAATTTGAAAAGCCTGCGTCAGGTTCTTGGGACCGGTTCAGCTTAACTGATGATTGTTACAATGACATATGATATTTGCACGAATGAGCTTACAAGACTTGACCGTCGATTCAGTTTTTTTTTTTTTTTTTAAAAAAAAGAAGACTTGATCGTCGCTATGGGGACGAATTCAACTGACAACTGATAGAAATGGCTTATTGACTTTTGCCCCATGTTGCTAAAATAGATTAAAGCTTTGATAGAAACACGAGAGTAGAAATGGCTTATCGACTTTTGCTCCATGTTGCTAAAATATATTAAAGCTTTGATAGAAACACGAGAGTAGAAATGGCTTATCGACCTTTGCCCCATGTTGCTAAAATAGATTAAAGTTTTGATAGAAGCACGAGAGTTGCCCTTGCCCCATGTTGCTAAAATAGATTAAAGCTTTGATAGAAACACGAGAGTTGAGTTTGTCAAGGATTTCTCTTAAAACAATTGCCAATCGGTCGAGTTTACTTTTTTTTTTTCAGTACTCTTCGTTGTGAACGCGTGCGGTGATACTGAATTTTCTGAGGCAACTCATGTGATTTAACTAATAAGTCCACTCGTGAGAGAGAAAATTGTGATTTTGCTATCGTAAAAGAGTGGTTTCGCTGGAATGCTATCCCTCCAAACTGATTCACTAAAATGCTATCCTAAACTAGAGGTGTTCACCAAAATGCTATTTTCGCTCTTTTGGGTAAATAGAAATGTTTTTCCTCAATTTTAACATTTTCCTGGACCAAAATACCCCTGAGGGCCCACCTGTCATACTCTCTCCACTCTCTCCTCCTTCTCTTCCTCTCTCTCTCGGGAGCGCCGGCCACTGCTCTCCTCCGACCACCGGCGCTCCGCCTCCCCGGCCACCGGCCACCGGCCACTGCTCTCCCCCTCCCAGCTCGCCGCCCTCTGCCCGCCCCGCCCGGCCGCCTCCTTCGCTCCGCCGCGGCGTCCAACTCCCCGGCGGCCGCGTCCCCGAAGAAGAGAGCGGCGACAGGGTTGATGAAGCCCCAGCCCGTGTCGCCGGCGATGCAGGCGGTGGTGGGCGTCCTCTTCCTCTCTCTCGAGGACGCCGTCGGGAGCGCGAGGGTGGCCGGCTGGCAGGCATGGCGAGGGTGGGGCGGGCATGGTGGGCTGGTGGCGCGGGACTAACCTCGTCACCGACGACGACGAATCCACCGCCGATTGCTCATCGGTGTCGGTGTGCGCTCCGCGTCGTAGCGGTCGGAGGTCGGGGAGGGCGAGATGGCGGCGCCGGCTTGCTGTGGAGGGGGCGCTAATGATTGGGGCGGCGGCAGCGCGAGCAAAAAAGGGGGAGGAGGGGGGAGCACGTGGGGGATCGTCGGGGGCCGGCTCCGGAGCCGATGCGGATGGGTCGACGGCGTGATGCAGACAGGCGGCAGCGACACGAGCAGAAAGGGGAGGGGGAAGGGGAGGAGCAGGTGAGGGAGCGGTGGGGTCCGGCGCTGGAGCCGGAGCCGAGCAGAGGGCGACGGCGCTCGCCGCTGCCGAGAGCCCGAGAAGAGAAGGCAGAGAATGGCTTCGATTTGGTCTCGGCTGAGAGAAGGGTATTTTGGTCAGACGAAAAACTAAAGTAGAGCAAAATCATTTCTATTAAAAAAAAGACCAAAAATAGCATTTTGGTGAATACCCTCAGTTTAGGATAGCATTTTAATGAATCACTTTGAAGGGATAGTATTCTAGCGAAACGATCCTTTTGCGATAGCAAAATCACAATTTTCTCCTCGTGAGATGATTAATGAATAGTAATCCTCAAGTTGCATTTCATCAAGCATTCGATGCATCTGATCTACCCGATATAGATTGACTGTTTCGGCTGTAGCTTAACTTCAGCCTGAAAGATGATCAATGATACAAAAAGACAGTGCAATATTGATAAATCACCACTTGCTTACAGGAATTACAATGTTCTGTAGCTATCTAAGCTACTTTGACAAATGGCTAAATGAGGATACATCTAATCGTAACCGTGAAGTTAACATGGTCAAACAAGATAATCTTATTGTAATTCAGAATGCGGGCTATTTTCTTAATCTTTCATCTGTTTAATCTCTATTGGATCAACTACTCTGAACCTTGTTCCCGCTGAAGATCCGGTTGAGTATTGCAGCAAGCCTCACGCCACCTTGAGCAATCCTCTTCTGAACAACAGGCAGGGCAGCGAAGAAATAGTCATCTGCAGTTTTCAAGAACAAGCATCACATCAAATTGCTCTTAATGTTAATGGCATCACAAATCAGTCATTAAGAATGTGTGAAAGCAAGTTTGGTGTTTTGAAGAACTTGCCTTCTAAGGTGGATTCTTGCTCAACACCCTCGTACGCTTTGCACGCGAGCTTTGCACTCTCCTCGGCGTACCTGCATTTGCTTTCAGCTGTCAATCTCTGAATATTTATATTTCAGTTCGATTCAGCCAAAATCATGCATTCATGCAGGCCATGAGCTTACTTATCGGCACAAGTCTTTGTCCGGCTACGGCAAGTCTCCCACTGCTTCTCCTCGGTGGACCACTCATCCTGCACGGCATAAAATCCAATCAAAACCACTACAGTCTACAGATGAGGAGAAAACTGAAATGCAGCTCAAGGCAGTGAAGTGTCGAGCTTGCTCACAGTGATGTTCATCTTGATGGCCTTTATCATCGTGCTCACGTCCTCGTTGTAGAATTCCTTCAAGGCCGTTTCAATGACGTTCACATCCCACACCTGAAACGATACAAGTTTACAATGCTAAGATTAAGTTAGCTGTTCACAAAGAACAAAATTGGATAAATTATTAATGGATTAATTCGATCTGTGTTAGGCTCTACGTACGTGATGAAGGTTGCTCTTCCTTGTGTACCAATGGACGATGATGGTGTTGCCACCAAGATCTTTGACGTGGCCGCAGTGGAGAGGCTGGTGAACGTCGCCGACGAAGTGTGCCAAGAACATCAAGCTCTCGGTTGGATCATCTGAAAGTTATCACAAGCAAACATGTGAGATGCCATGTGTTCAGTTTATTACTTCATTACAGCTGAAAATACAGACAGGAGCAGAAGTGTGACTAGTGATGCTTACATGGACTTGATGAGTCCTCGAGCGCGTTGGTGTAGTTGTTGATCGCTCCGACCACACACATGTCCTTCTCACCGTTTGTGTTGTGGCAATCCCCTGCGCAGAAATGGCACAATCACGCGTCTCATCATTTACTCATTTTCTCAAAATTCAGCGCACTAGGCATAAGAGAGTAAGACAGCACCCTGAATTTTTGATACAGTTTGCATTCGATTCGTTTTTGTTCTTAATCTAAGTTTGACCCCTTTTATGGACTTTAACAGTTCAACTACCATAGCCATACCCATACATGATGGTTCTAAGCGTTTTATCAATCATTGCATGAACAGATAATTCAGGCAAACGGTTACCACTGATCCCAGGAACAAACAGAGGCTTCAGAGTTCAGACTAGTTCCCTTTTTTCTGTCCAGCACAATGTCATGCCATCTATATGGACGACGGCTACACGAGCCTAACGAGCTTGCCTTTGCTTTGCCCAATCAAACAAGCAAGACGCAACCTATACTTAGACGCATCCTGTCGAGTTTGGCAGTCCAAACTGCCGTCTCATTTTTTTTGCTTGTACTTATTCTTATGAGCCAAAATTTAAATTTTCAACCTTAAATTCGGAGTTGATTTTAAGGTTTTTTTCATCGAAGTTTATCTCTTTTAGATCGCTAGGAACACGTAAATAAAAGTTTTATTCACAAATTATTTTCCGTTCGCTAAAAACATATAAATAAAAGTTTATTCACAAATTATTAAATATGCTGCACGAATAAGCCAACCGATGGGCTCCAACTGGCCGGCTGTTAACCGGACCAAGAAGCTACTAAGCATCATCAAGATGCTCCAACGAGGTTGCTTACTATACTCATTATGACAGCAACTTGTCATCAGACACATGTCAGGTTTCTATCAACCTATCCAACTGCTAATCAGCTGCGACAGCTAATCGATCTACTTGGAAATCTGAAACTGAAACTGAAACTGCAATGCTAATCAGGGGAGGAGGAGGAGATTATACGGGCGTAGTTGAACTGGCAGTCGCCGGGGGTGTCGGCGAAGTGGAGGGGGCTCGACCACCGGTACCGGAACCGCTCGGTGTCCGCCCACGAGCACGTTTCCGCGAGCTCGCCGCCGGCCCACCCGGGGAGGAGCTCCTTCACCGCCGTCGCCGCCTCCTTCGTCAGGAAACCCTGCAGAAGCAAACCCAAAGTTCCCCACCAATCAAGCAAGCGCAAAGCACGAGGTGGAATCCATCTCGATCGATCGATCTCTCACCTCGGCGATCTTGCACACCATGTAGTGGCCCTCCTTGCCCCACGCGTGGGCCGTGGGGGCTCTCGCCATGGCCGCGGCGACGACGACGACGAGGAGGAGGGGGAGCACGCGCGCGGCCATGGTTGCTCTGCTTCTCTGCTCTGTTTCCTCTTCTCTTTGCTTTCTTGCTCCTATTTATACCCGACTGGTTAACTAATGGCCAAGTTTTTTTTTTAGTAGTAGATTCCTTAATTCAGATCCGTTATGCCATGGGATGATTGGTGATAACATCTTGGAAATTTTATGCCATTAAGATTTAAAATCGAACTCTTCGATCGATAACTTTTCTTAAGAAAAACATTCCAAAAATTAAATTATTTTTAAAACAAAACACTTTGGTCACGCTCACGCGACCCGCTGCCACGTCGCCGTTTAGATATAGTACTCCCTCAATATTTTTTAATGTATCAAGCCGTTAACTTTTCGATCAATGTTTGACCATTCGTTTTATTTAAAAATTTTGTGTAAATATGAATATTTATGTCATGCTTAAAGAACATTTGATGACGAATCAAATCATAATAAAATAAATAATAATTACATAAATTTTTTAAATAAGACGAATAGTCAAACATTAGATAAAAAGTCAACGGCGTCATACATTAAAATATGGAGGTAGTAGAAATTATCTTTTTTAGAAAAAAGTTGTATTGAAAATTTCAGGAAAATAAAAAAATTCAACAACTTGAGAAGTTTTGAAAAAAATATGAAAACTTTCATGGGACTAGATTCAATGTGGTTTTTGTAGTTCGGGCCTACTGAACAGATAATACTACCGCACTGCTATATACAACTAGGCAGAATCTCTTATATGCCACTGAAAATTAGTTTGATCCCTTATATGCCATAGAAAATTGGCTCTTCCCTTATATGCCGTTGATCCAAATTTGCACACCCTCTCATGCCACTCCCGTCAGTTGACCATGTGTTGACCGTTAATTCTCAAGGAAAAAAGACATATTTACCCGTCTAATTATAAGGCATGCCTAACAACTCAGAGAGGGCAAATATGTCTTTTTTACTTGAGAGTTAACGGTCAACACATGGTCAACTGATGGTAGTGGCATGAGATGGTGCACAAATTTAGACCAATGGTATATAAGGGAAGAGCCAATTTTCAGTGGCATATAAGGAATCAGACCAATTTTCAGTGGCATATAAGAGATTATCTCGTACAACTATCACAAATCTGTCTAGATTTATGGTGCTTAACATCTCCACGTGAAGATTCTCAGTACTGAAATATGTTACATCTTTATTGATTTTTATTTTGGGACTAAGAAAGTACGTCCGAGCTTATCATCATAAACATGGTGCTCAACTGACAACTGCTCACATGTGCAGCGCATGCCCAAACCGCTTCCTACTTTCCCCAATCGTAAGGTATTCTTTTGTGAAATCTCAACTCTGATCCGATCTACTGAGGGACGGAGAGAGTAATATATAAAATGGAACAGAACAACTGTTTGGATCAACATTCAACGAGGCTGGTGGATGTAGCTAAAAACAGCATTGACTTACCAGTATTTTAACAAGTACTCCATCCCTCCAACTCAATAAAACACGATTAAACTTAACACAGACTTTAAAACTAATCTTTATATTTAAATTTCTTATATACTACATTTTTTTAGCAATAGAATCATAATCATTTAAAGGTAAATTAAATAACAATCCAATGATATAATTTTCATCAAATAAAATATAATTTATAATAAAATATTTATTAGTTAAATATTTAAAGAGTTGACTATTAAAATACACATACTCTCTCCGTTTCAAAATGTTTAACACCGTTGACTTTTTAGCACATGTTTGACCGTTCGTCTTATTAAAAAAATTTGTGAAATATGTAAAACTATATGTGTACATGAAAGTATATTTAACAATAAATCAAATGATATGAAAAGAATAAATAATTACTTAAATTTTTTGAATAAAACGAATGGTCAAACACGTACTAAAAAGTTAATGGTGTCAAATATTTTGAAACGGTGTCAAATATTTTGAAACGGAGGGAGTACATCTTAGGGCATGTTTGGTACAGCTCCAACTCCTAAATATAACTCCAGGAGTTGAGTCTGGAGTGGAGTTGTGGAGCTGTCTAAACCCAGCTCCACAACTCGTATATTTTGTGACAGAGTTCCACCCAACTCCACTCCCAATTTTGATGGAGCTGAAACTGTTTGGCTAAGCTCCAGCTCAGGAGGGGTGGAGCTGGAGCTGTGTCAAACAGACCCTTAGTGTCTTAGTGGGTGGGATGAAGGGAGTACTAACAATGTTTCAAGGTAAAAATAAATGCAACTAGGAAGCACAACTGCTCGTAGGAACTTGGAACAAAGAATATGCTGGTTTGGGCATCCTAAACAATTTGAGCATGATTGGCACGTTATTGATTATACTAGCAGTAGCGAGTAAGTACAGCATTAGATAAGACTGACATGGCATGCCTACTAGAAATTTGCCCGTTTCGCACGATGTATGCAGAGCAGCTGCACGCCAGAGGCATGGTAAACAAACAAAGCAAATGGCAGGTGAGATTATTAAAAAAAAGAGTCTGCATCTGGGTCTCCAAATTCAAATGATATACACGACTAGCCATACCATGGCAATCAAATTATACTAATTGTTTCCTCTAACCTCTAGCATGTGCAACAGTACAAGACGCAATCAATCAAGCTCGGCTTCCACTAAAACCATACCTCCAAACAACACAAAGCAATTTAGCCCGCATTTCTCACCAACGCAAATACGCAATTTGGGCAGAAAAATCTACACCAACACGCTATGTGACAACGGGATGAATAGCAACAACAGATCTCCATACAAGTCAAGGACATGAATAGCTCTACGGCTCAGGTCAGGCAGAACAAAGTTACAAGCCACAGCTCAAATGTTACCGTCGAGAATCAAGCACACTACGTATTCCAGACTCCAGAGAAAGGTAGGTCTACTTGGGACAAAGAATGTCATAGTGCCCAGGCCTGTACAGCAAGATCGCTAACCGCCTTCTTTCTGCTGGGGATAGGTCGTTGATGGTCCTGTCTCCCTTTCCATCTCGCTCATTAGGAGTTGAACTGGTGCCAATTGATTGCAGTCCCAATGCTTCTGTTGAGCTGTTTGTACTGGAGCCACTGGTACTAGGCTGATTCTGAAGCTCACCTCTAGCTGCATGGTAACCACTGCTTTCAGGAGAGACAATCTCATGCGAATTCAGAGGTCCCAACATCGTGCCCTCTTCTGATTCTGGTCTGGGGTAGATGAAATGCTGATTTAGTATGGGGGTGTCAGTCTCCGAGGTTGTATCGAGATTCTCCACAAGTACGGGGATGCCGAGTGCTTCCACAAGTGCCTTCATCTGTTCATTGCTCGCTTCAGCATTCTCAGGTCGCACTTCAACCTGGCAAAACTGTTTGACGAAACAAAGCACAAGTAAATGCTAATTGCCTAAATATTTTTTTTCCTTTTGCTGGTAAATCTTGTATACAGAAGGAATAGAAGCTAGGCGAAGAAAAACCTATTAATATAAATAGATTCATCCAATATAATATCTTCCCGCTTATGTCCTATGTTTGACTTTGTGGTTTATGTAACTTCAACATCTTTTCAAAGTGGGGTAACTTCAACAACTAAAACAAAGAGTCAAAAGGAGCATATAGCAAATTGTTTGGACTTTGAACTGTAATAGGGGCCAATAAATCAAACAAAAAGATAATCCATTCTGCCTACTGTTTGGACTTTGTGGGATCAAATGAGCCTGTAAAGAAAAAGAAAATCCTAGCATTGTTTAGAAATTTTAACATCTGGTACATTAGAAGCATAATTCAAGGAGTTTTTTTTTTCTTATTAGATTACAAATTAAGGAGTTTTTTTCTTATTAGATTCCAAAATATTACGTAATTAGCAACAACCATCTAAAGCACTACACATGCAGCAAAATATTGGTAATGAAGTATGGGTGGGTGGTAGTAGGCTAGGAAGTCACAATTCTTCTACCTCAAAAACAGATGAATAATCTGCTGTTAGAAGAAAACCCTTGTAGTGGTCCTCATGTGTGCAGATCTCAATCTCAGTCAGAAACCTAAGGAAGCGTAAACCTAAACAGGGAAAAAAAAATCATGCAGTGAAACAGATGAGTAACAAGGAAAAACAGTCTAGCAATCATCAAGTATCCTCACTGTTTTTTGTGATGTCAGTCTCATCTATCTGATATAGTTGTTCAACAGCAACACTATGAAATACAAACAGTGTTTGTCAGCTAAGATATAACAAGAAACAATATCTTCATATCATTCCTAAACATAACTTGAAAACCAACAGGATGCTAATTAGCCATACCCCTTTTCAATTAAGTTGATCAATTGTTCAAATGCCTGCAACAAAGAAATTCAGCAAATTCAGTGATTCTGGGCTATAAATTATAAAGAAAACCAAATGCTACAAATCATAACTATCAGCAAGCATAGCAAACCAGAGCTGTTAGCAAAGCGCAGGTTAATTTAACCTGAGCAGACATGGAAATCACATAACGATTTACAAGCTTAGCTCATTTGTGATGTGCCGTACCATTGACTACAGAAAACATTTTGCCCCAAATGACTTCCAAAATGAACTATAAAGCTAATCAAAATAATCAGTTCAATAGAAATGGGGCCAAAGGACATCGGCAGTTACTATTCAAACTCAATGAAGTGTGCACTTGCAAGATTAAAAGAGTGAAGGTGTGATCAATAATATAAAATGTGAAAAGAATGTCCCACACTGGGCAAATTGTACTGGTGAATGTTGAAAACTGAGAACTAAAAGTACGTACAGAAAGAGCTTTCAAGAATTCTTCTTGAGGTATTCCAAAAGAACCAAATCTTGCATAAGCTTGCTTGTATTTTCCAATACGTTCTCCGATACGGGAAACTTCAATAATGCGCTCCAAGTCATCCTGCATTGCTACAATACGCTCCTGTTTGTACACCAATGAGCTTTAGTGTCTAACAAACAAGAACAAAGCATAGTTTGAACAAGCGGGCCGAAATATTTACCATGTAACTGAAAATGAAAGCTCGATAAAAGCAACTGCCATCTCTGTCAACTGGTCTGAAGAAATCGTATTTTTCGCTAAGAAGCTGTGTATAGAATTTCAAGTTAGCAGAATAGTTAAATGTATACTGACAAAAAATAATGTGCACAATATATGAACATACCGTGATCTTTTTTTTTATGGTATTGTTTTCGAATTCATCAGCCAAATCCACGATAGGTTTCTGCAGTACCAAAATATCACACAATTAAAAGGGTATTCAATCAAAACTAAACATATCAGTTAGCCAGTCTCGGTAGGTTACATGGTTTTCATGGGGCACTGATTATGAGAAGCATCTAAGCTCAAGGTGGATTAAAAGATGGATATTTTAGGAACAATGGTTGTGAGAAGCACACGAGTCATGGTACTGTTTGATCTAATTGAGAGAAGTCAGAGGAAACTCAGGTTCATGTAGCCATGCAAAGCAAGTTCGTTGAAATGGAAAGAGAAATTCCATACCTTATCTCTTGTCTTGCAGGAATCGTACTTGTTATCGCCACTCTTGCTCCGGTCATCTGATGTTGTCTAAAGAAGTTCACAGCAGTGGAATGGCAACAAGATTAAAACTCCAATACAAGGTGCAGGCAGCAAAGCTATCACAAGTCTAAATTAGGACACTAAGTTATATATAAATATGTCTTGCTGGAAAACATGGAGAGATCGATCAGAAACCAACACGTGAGTAGCGTTAACAGAGAATCACATTTTATTTTTACATTAGTTTTCTCTTACTTATCTGAAGTACCAAGTCCAGAAGCAAGAAGGAAAAAACAGATGCAATTACTCAAACTCAGGTCCATGCAGCAATGGAAAGAGAACTTTCACACCTTATCTCTTAGCTTGCAGGAATCAGACTTGTTATCATCACTCCTTCTCCAGTCTTCTTGTGCTTCCTTAAGAAAGTTCACAGCAATGGGATGGTCAGATTATGGTTTGCAGATGAACGAACAAACGCAAAATTAGCTTCAAAAAATTGATGTTTAGGTAAATCTAGTTAGCCTGCTAGTGAATTTACAGTCTTGTGACGTGTTCATGATGTTCACACCTGATATCTGATCCATTCCAACTCTTGTAACGGTGCAAGTCCCAACTCTAGAGACAAGGAATCGGGATCCCATGCTTCCTGCTCCTGTAATTCAATAAAACCATGTGATCCTCAGTAATAAAACCACGTGATCTAAATCCTGAAGTAGTACTTTCAAACATTTTCACAGTACTAGGCATGTGCTAAAAAGTTGCCCGTTTCGATCACAAAAATCCAATATTAAGATCACAATAGTAAACCGGTAACAAGATCAAAACTCACAGGCAGCAAAGCTATCAGAAGTCTCTCCAGTACAAGGTGCAGGCAGCAAAGCTATTAGAAGTCTAGATTAGGACGCTAAGTTGTCTGTTTGGGTTGCTGAAAACATAGAGAAATCGACCAGAAACCAACACGCGAGTAGCGGTAACAGATGATCACTTTTCTACATTATCTTTTTCTTACTTATCTGAAGTACCAAGTCCAGAAGCAAGAGGGGAAAAAAGATGCAATTAGTCAAGCTCAGGTCCATGTAGCCATGCAAAGCAAGTTCGATGAAATAGAAAGAGAACTTTCACACCTTATCTTTTTGCTTGCAGGAATCAGACTTGTTATCATCACTCTTTCTCCAGTCTTCTTGTGCTTCCTAAAGAAAATTCACGGCAATGGGATGGTCAGCTTATGCTCCGCAGACGAACGGACAAAATGCAAAAATTAGCTTCAAAATTGATGTTTGGGTAAATCTAGTTAGTCTGCTAGTGAATTTACAGTCTTGTGCTGTGTTGATGATGTTCACACCTGATATCTGATACATTCCAACTCTCGTAACGTTGCAAGTCCCAACTCTAGAGACAAGGAATCGGGGTCCCATGCTCCCTGATCCTGTAATTCAATAAAACCATGTGATCCTCAGTAATAAAACCACATGATCTAAATCCTGAGGTAGTACTTTCAAACATTTTCACAGTACTAGGCAACATTACGATCACAATAGAATCCAATATTACGGTCACAATAGTATATACAGGTAACAAGATCAAAACTCGCAGGCAGCAAAGCTATCAGAAGTCTAGATTAGGACGCTAAGTTGTCTGTTTGGGTTGCTGAAAACATAGAGAAATCGACCAGAAACCAACACGCGAGTAGCGGTAACAGATGATCACTTTTTTACATTATCTTTTTCTTACTTATCTGAAGTACCAAGTCCAGAAGCAAGAGGGGGAAAAAGATGCAATTAGTCAAGCTCAGGTCCATGTAGCCATGCAAAGCAAGTTCGATGAAATAGAAAGAGAACTTTCACACCTTATCTTTTTGCTTGCAGGAATCAGACTTGTTATCATCACTCTTTCTCCAGTCTTCTTGTGCTTCCTAAAGAAAATTCACAGCAATGGGATGGTCAGCTTATGCTCCGCAGACGAACGGACAAAATGCAAAAATTAGCTTCAAAATTGATGTTTGGGTAAATCTAGTTAGTCTGCTAGTGAATTTACAGTCTTGTGCTGTGTTGATGATGTTCACACCTGATATCTGATACATTCCAACTCTCGTAACGTTGCAAGTCCCAACTCTAGAGACAAGGAATCGGGGTCCCATGCTCCCTGATCCTGTAATTCAATAAAACCATGTGATCCTCAGTAATAAAACCACGTGATCTAAATCCTGAGGTAGTACTTTCAAACATTTTCACAGTACTAGGCAACATTACGATCACAATAGAATCCAATATTACGGTCACAATAGTATATACAAGTAACAAGATCAAAACTCACAGGCAGCAAAGCTATCAGAAGTCTAAATTAGGACACTGAGTTATCTATTTGGGTCGCTGAAAACATAGAGAAATCGACCAGAAACCAACACGCAAGCAGCAGAAGCAGATCGTATTATTTTCTGACATTAATTCCACCTGTCTGAAGTATCAAGTCCAGAATCATGCAAGCAAGAGTGGGGAGATGCAATTCGTCAAACTCAAAGGTTAAAGAAAGAAATGCCCTAATTCTTGCCTATGTCAAGACAATCAAACTAGATAGAGACCAAGAACTACCTTGAAACTCGATTAAAACCTTCAAGAAACAATCCAATGCACAAGGAGCGGTATGGTGAAGCCGAAGCAGCAGAGGCAGAGCTGAGAGAGGGGGAAAAAAATCCAAGAACAAATGGTACAAAACCCCACGAAACTAATCCGACAAACAGATTAGAATCCAAGAACCAGAAGACAAGAAACACACGGTAAACAACAACCGATCAATTCAAAGAAACTACCCAATAAACCCCAAAAAACCCATCCCCGCTGCTCCCCGCAGGACTACTCCCAACCAAAATTTCACCGCAAGAGCAGCCGAGCCGCGCGTTGGGAAAACTCAACAAGCCTCGCATCGCAACGAGAAAAACCCCACCAGTTCCCACCAACTCGTTAACGCAAAGATCACCAGAAAAAAAAAACCTCGATGCGGGGTGTGTTCCCGAAGACAACACAGGAAATGGGAGAGGGGGGGGGGAGGGGGGGGGAAGAGCACGAGACGCGATTCAATAACCCTAACCTCATAGCCGGTGTACGCGTCCACGAAGGCCTGCGGTGAGGGCAACGTCGGCAGCAGCGGCTGCGGCGAAGGCGGCGAAGGCGGCGACGGCGACGACGGCGGCGAACCTCCGCCACCGCCATTGCCGGAGCTCCCGGAGTCGGGGTCGGCGTCGCTTCCCCAACCACCCTCCGACGCGGCGGGCTTACGCCGCATGACTTCTTCTTGGGAAGAGACCTTTTTACCCTTCTCTCGCGAGTTCTCTCGGTTTGCCCCCTCGCTTTGTGAGTAATTGCGGATGCGGGTGTTCGTGAGGGGCCCGAGGGGCGGAGGGCTAGGCTTTTATAGCTGTGAGGGGTGAGGATGAAAATTTCCAAGGGAGGTGAACCGACATCGTCTGGTCTCTCGAGGTTTCCTAAGGAAAATATCCAATTAGTCATTTTCTCCTTTAGTATCTACTTTATTTATTTAAGGTGTTCTTTTTCTAATTAAAAACACCATATGAAATCACATGTGATTGGTTACATAAATTTATTCCTGATTCTAATTTGGAGGTTATTTTTATCTTGTTTTTGTGGATCATACTTGTGCCTACCTTCTAATATATACATTTTTCTTTTTTCCCCTTCTATATGTTTGCGTGTCATCAATCTATCATTGAGTGTTTGGATTTTGGAAACTCTCCTAAATATTTTTCTATGCAGTTGTTTTTGTTTTTATTATTTCCGATAATGTACTCCCTCCGTCCCAAAAAAAGACAAACCCTGATTTCCGTGTCCAAGGTTTGACCATTCGTCTTATTTGAAAAAATTATGAAAAAAATTAAAAAGACAAGTCATGCATAAAATATTAATCATATTTTATCATTTAACAACAATGAAAATATGAATTATAAAAAAATTTCATATAAGACGGACAGTCAAAGTTGGACACAGAAACTCAGGGTTTGCCTTTTTTTTTGGGACGGAGGGAGTATGTATAGTCAGAGGGTGCTTAAATTTTCATATGATTTCATATTAAAAATAAACCAATATCATCTTATCGTCTAAAATTAAACAAAGCTAATCACTCTTTCTGCCCTGAGTTAAAATTGTGAGTCTCTTTGTAATGTTAATTGCCTCAATCAATACCAAGCAGACTTTATTAAGAAAATACAATCTATTTATAAAATCCTTTATTTTAAAGGATATAGAGAGAATGTGCACGATATATGCATTCTGCATTATCCACCTCTACCTCAATGCTATTTTACATCATTGAGTATGACGGAGCTCGGGGCTCCTCACCGGGAGACCGCGCAGGCCCCCCTTTGCCAGTTCGGCCGGGGGCTTAGGGTGAGATCTCAAGCTCTCTCTGTGTGTGGAAAGATCGCGTGCCAGGAAGAAACGCGAGACACGGACGATGTATACAGGTTCGGGCCGCTGGGAAGCGTAATACCCTACTCCTGTGTTTTTGGTGGATCTGTGTAAGAGCAAGTTACAAAAAATCAACCAGCCCTCTCCTCTCCCGGGAAAATCCAGCCCCCTCTCTTTGTGGGCATGGTCCTCCTTTTATATCTTAAGGGGATACCACATGTACCCTTTTCTTTCCAAACTGGACTTTTCTTCTCTTTATGGACGGAGATTGGTATGGTTGCCGTCCGAATGACATTTCGATGGGACAACCCACACCTACCTCCACTCCCGGCGGAGACAGGCGCAACGTGGGATCGTGGCTGTCTGTTGCTGACGCGACCAGTGTCAGACCGGTCACAGATCGGTCATTCTTGTCCTCTACGTGTCAGTTCAGCGATCTGCATGATCACCCTTCTTTTTGTAGCATCTTGCCTGTAATGGTTGGGATGAAGCCTGGTATTCATCTAACCAGGGCTAACGTGCCATCTCTAAGAGGTAACACGCTAGCTCCGGCTGGAGACGTGTGCCTAGAGGCTCTCGTCTTGACGGGACGGGGCGAGGCGTGCGTCAGACCACCAGTCGCCACCTAACCGTTGATCCGACCGGTCTGTGACTGGTCACAGACCGGATAAAAGAGCGCGCTGCATTGCGCTGCATGCAACGTGACGCGCTTGACCAGACCGTAATAAATGCGGTTAGGTGAGCCCTACCGTGTTCACCCAACCTATGTACATAGTGCAAACCCCACAGGGGGTCGGGGCACCTCGGCCCTCGGGGTCGGGGCAGGAGCAACCCGACCCCCCCTCGGGGAAATCAGGAGGAGGGCGGACACCTCACCCTCGGGCCCGACGTCCCCGAAGGTGCCAGGCCACGTGGGCGATTCCATCTGCCTCAAGCCTCCGGGCGCAATACTCCCGGTCCCATATCACCGACAGTAGCCCCCGGCGTTATGTCAGGGCAATCATCCTTCTCAAGGGAAGCGGTCGGGCATGACGCCACTCATAAAACCTGGTGACAGGTGGGACCGGTCTCCGTGATTGGGCAGAAACCCAACGGTCTCAAACCACGCATATCGGTAACGGTGTCTTGGCCGTCAGTCATGGGCGGTCTCTTCAAGACTGCCACATCACTTGAGCAGCGCTCGAATCTGGGCGTGTAGATTCGTTTCGTCTGGAGATATGGTAACGTCGCTTCGGTCAGCGAGCGTAATTAACGCACACACGATACGATCTATCTCGACTGCCACAACCGCATATCTACCTTATGCGCCGCAAGCGGGCGAATGGAATTTAGTGGAAGCGTGGGCGCGAGAAACGAGGGAGCGAGATAGCGAGTAACGAGGGAGCGAGATAGTGGGCACGAGAAACGAGGAGCCGGGCTCAGCGATGGCAAGGGTATAAAGCTATCGAGGAAAGGACTTGCTCCCTTCCTTTCGCCACTATTCCCCTTTCCTTCGCCGTTTGCGCCCCTAACTCTCTCTTTGCTGCGCCTCACCTTCGCCACACACACTCGTTCTCAACCCTCTCTTTCTCCGACGACATGGCACGGGGCTCCGCTCTGCTCGACGGTAGCGTACTACCGCCTTCCCGCATTGTGAGCGAGAGGCAGGCTGGGCTGCCGGGCCGCTTCATGCCGGAATCCGCCACCGGCCGTGAGATAGTAATGCTGGGTGAGGGACGCCCGGCGCCAGACTACCCGGGGCGGTCCGTCTTCTTTCTCCCCTTCGCAATGGCCGGGTTGGTTCCTCCTTTTTCTTCTTTCTTTATGGATGTTCTGGAGTTCTACGATCTCCAGATGGCGCACCTCACCCCCAACGCAGTGATGACTTTGGCCATCTTCGCGCACCTGTGCGAGATGTTCATTGGGGTGCGCCCATCTCTTCGGCTGTTCCGGTGGTTCTTCACCGTGCAGTCGGTGTCGCCGCCGTCGGTGGTCGGTGGTTGCTACTTCCAGCCGCGGGGGCCGGTGTTGAACCGCTACATCCCCTGCGCCCTCCGCAAGAAGTGGGACGATTGGAAGAGCGACTGGTTCTACACCCCCCTTGCCAACGAAGCGCGCCTCCGACTCCCAAGCCAGCCCCCGGCTCCGGTCTCCAGCTGGCGGGCGCCAGTAGATCTGGGGGATGACTATGACGCCGTCCTCGACCGCCTGGCGGGCCTGCGATCTCAGGGGCTCACAGGGGCCATGGTGTACGGCGACTACCTCCGTCGCCGGATTGCGCCGCTTCAGCGGCGCGCCCGGAGCGCATGGGAGTACACCGGGTCCGAGGACTACATGAGGACCCACCGGGGAGTCAGACGGGATTGGGCTCCCGATGACTTCAAGATCGTGGTCCAAAGGGTGCTGAATCTCAGCTCCGTGGAGGCGTCTCTTATTCCTCAAGGACTCCTCCCCCTCTGCTGCGATCCAGACCGCGCCTCCATTCTGACCATCATGATGGGGGTCGGGGCCTCAGAGGAGGTGGCTCCTAAGGGCCACGACGGCGCCGGCGGGAGCCGCCAGGAAGAATCAACCCCAGGAGGGGGCCGTGCTTCTGGGCCCCGCGTCGGGGGCTCGGGGAGCAACCGCCCTACCGACGCCCGGGGGAAGAGGAAACTGGGAGGAACACCTCCCCCATCTCCTCCCCGAGGGGGCGGGGCGGTGCGTGCCAGCAGCAGGCGCCCGGAGGGGGCCGCGCCAACCTCGCAGCCCGAGGGGGAGCGCAAGAAGAAGCGGCTGCGCAAGATGGGGGAGACAGAACCATCCCGGGGAAACCTAATTTCCCCTCCAAGGTGGTCATTTAACCGACCCCCTCGCAGGTTCGTCCCATGCTCATTGCGACCGTCTTTTCTTCTATTCCAAAAGCAAGTTTCTTCTTACCCATCCTGTTTGCCTTCTGGTTTTTCTTTCTGCTTCAGTGATGTCCCGTCGCGTTCCTCCCGCCATCCCAAGTCCGGCCAATCCGAAGCCGAAGATCCGGCGGCCGCAGAGGAACGGAGGCGAGAATCTGACCGGCGAGAGGCCGCAGATCGCCTTCGGGAAGCTGAAGAGGCCGCCCGGGAAACCGCCCGGGCTCGCCAAGCTGAAGAAGCCGCTCGGGAGGAGGCCGCCCGGGCTCGTCAGGCTGAAGAAGTCACCCGGGAGGAAACCGCCCGGGCTCGCCAGGCAGAGGCGATGGCGTCTTTCGAGGCGGTTTACGACAAGACCGCCGGCGCGTCGCTCGGGCCCACTCCCTCGGGTGACGCTCAGGCGACAACCTCCGGGGCGGCTTGCGACAAGGCCGCGGGCGCATCGCCTGGGCCCGCTCCCTCGGGCGACGCCCAGGACCAAACGGGTCCGGGGGACATCCCCGAGCTCAGTGCGTCTTCTGGCGGGCCGAGCCGCGTCGCATTTTCTCCAAGGCGGCTCTTCTCCTCGTCTTCTGCCACCCCGCTGAGTGCCGAGCCCCTTCTGCAAGCCTTGGCCGCCGCAAACACAGCGGTGCTAGATGGATTCAGCGCCCAGGTGGAGGCCTTGCGAGCGGAACGAGCGGAGCTCGAGGCCGCATGGGCGCGCGTCGAGGAGGGGCGGCGCTCGGTGGACGCCATGGTGGAGGTGGGCCGTAAGGCTCACCGCCGCCACATCTCGGAGCTTGAAGCCCGCAAGGCGGCGCTGGCGGAGATCGCCCGAGAGGTGGAGGAGGAGCGAGAGGCCGCCCTCGTCGCCACCACCGCGATGATTGAGGCGCAGGACTCCCTCCGCCTTCAACACGGGAGCTGGGAGGCGGAGCTAAAGAAAAAGCTCGACGCCGCCCAGGGGGTCCTCGACGCCGCCGCTGCCCGAGAGCAGCGAGCAACGGAGGCTGAAGCGGCGTCCCGGCGGCGCGAAGAGGCCCTTGAAGCCCGTGCCATGGCGCTGGAGGATCATGCCGG